GGAGGCGCCAGGTGAAATTGCTGAGCTCTCCAAGGGATCTCATTTCAAGCTGGTCGTTGGCAGAGCACCAGCGAAGCCTTTGGAACAGCAAGGTGGGCTAATTTTAGCTCCGGGCACCCAAACGTGTTCCCTTTTCCTGGGCTTCGTCCCCCGTACAGCAAAGGTGAGTTATGACGGTCGTACATTCTCCCTTGTCATCTAGAGCAGGCTGCAGGGAGGCAGGCGGGCTCTGGGCCGCCTCAGCCAAGGTTGCTCTGGACAACTGAGGAGCCACGGGGCCCACGCGGTTGCTGGGCAGGGACCAGGAGGCAGAACGAGGGCCCTGGAGTGGCAGTCAGTCCTGGCTTTGACACCCCTAGCTGTGTGACTTGCCACATCACATCCCCTCCCTGGGCCTCTGTATCCACAACTATAAAACGGGCAGGTTGGATCTGGTGACCCTAAAGATACGTTTGGCTCTAAGAATCTATGAGGCAGGCATTCCTGAGATGGCAGGATTGAGGAAGGGCGACAGCGGGTCCCCTCCTGGTGGCAGGTAGGAAGAGATCCCCTGCTCAGAGACTCAGGAACTAGTTCATCTTTGCAGCAGACACTCTCTTCTCCCAGAGGCGGCCCAGGGGACCTGCGCACACCCAGCCTTCGGTCGGCCGGGTTCTGTGTGGCTTGCACAGGAGCAGAAGTTCACTGTGTTTCTGATTTGAACACCTCTGGGTCTGGCCAGCACTTCCCAGCTTGGCTTCCCTTTCTCACTCTCCACTCGCCTGCCTGTGTTTCCCGAGGTCGCCTCCTAGGCAAAGGGCGTCTATGTCACTGGAGAGGGCATGGTGTCCCCAGATGCGATAGCCAGAGAGGGACACAACCTCATGAATGCAGCGCCCAGCCAGGAATACACAGCCTCAGTCTTAGCAGGAGGGACATGGAACAGTTTTATTTCAAAGGGGAGTGTATATGCATCCACAACTTCAAGGTCATCTATGCCAAAGACAGGTTGGGGGAAGGTTCAGATCACAGGAGACTAAAGAGGGAGGACAGGTAAATGCAATATCCGATCCTACATTGAACCCTGTCCCAGAAGGGAAAAGCTGGAAAGAATATTTTTAGATCAGCTGACAAAATTGGAACAGACAGCAGATTCGATTAAAACAGTGCATCCCAGTTAAATGTGCTGACGTAGGTAACCGCATGTGGTTTCACAAGCGTATCCTCACTCTCAGGATCTACACACAGAAGTGTTTCGGGTTTTCCTGGGCTCTCCATCTTACAACGAGGGAGCTGGTTCACCTGACAGCCTACTGGCCTTTGATTTTGAGGGAGAACCATGCATTCCTTTGAGAATCTGATGAAATCTCTGGGCACTGCACTTTAAAAAAAATTTGTTTTATCCTCACTTTTTTTTATTCGAGGACACTTTCGCATTGGGAGGGAGGAAGAGAGAGAGAGAAACATTGACATGAGAGAGATACATCGACTGGCCGCCACCCACATGACCCCAACCAGGGCCGGGGACAAACTGCAACTGAGGTACGTGCCCTTAGCGGGAACTGAACCCAGGTCTCTCTGGTCCGCGGGCCGATGCTCTAACCGCCGAGCCAAACTGGCCAGGGCCCTGCACTTTGCAGCAACATAACGTACACATTCTTTGTTGCATGTCATCTCCAGAGTTCACAGACCCTCTGGAAACTCTCCACTAAGAATCCTTGGACTGGTGGGCTGCGATGGGCCTCCAGTTACCAAGACCTACAGTTCTGAAAGCAAAGGGCATGACGTAGTCAACTGATTCTCACGTGCTCCGGAAAAAGTGCAATGCATATATATATGGGGGGGGGGGGGGGAGCAGATGATAAGCAAATGGGGCAACATGTTTTTAAAAAAGAGGTGTATTCAAGTGTTCTATGTGCTATTTTTGTCCTGGCAACATGTTTGTGTCTGAGTTTAACATCCTTTTCCAAATAAGATGTTAAAAATCACTTGTGGGGTGTCTAAATGCCATTCAATAAGTGATGCCCTTTATTAGCATTTCAATATGATGACAAGGAGTCAGGGAGGTTAATGCTGCTGAGCGGGGCAGGCAGCTGGGCACGAACAGCCATGTAGCCAAGGGCCAGGGGGCACAGGGTCAGGGTGGGTGAGGAGCCCAGGTGGAACATGGCAGGCAGCTGGTGGACAGAGTGCTCAGTGAACTCCTATTCAGACTCGAACTACTTGCTGGTTTTTGCTAAGGGAGCAATTCTATGGATAGTCAGGGACCATGGTCTGTTTTTCTCTCTCACTTTTCCCCTTGTTTCTTACCTGTCCCTGCATGACTGCAATGAACTCTATTTCCCAGAATCATAGACGGCCCATGCTGGGAGGGACTTGAACCACCATATCCACCCTTTCCATGGGCTCGATGAGAAAAGGAAGACCCAGTGAAATCAATTTCCAGGTCCACTGTTATACAATGAAGGAACGGTGAGAGTTGGTGCCTGGGATATCCCAAGTTAACCCTATTCACTCTGCTCAGAATAGCGCGGCAGAGTGTTCTTATAATCTTGTCTGGAATATTTTGAGGGTCTGGGTACCGTTTCAGAGGAGCCTACGAGCTGCAGCATGATACATTACAAAAAGTGTACTGCTGGGACCAGGGCACTTGGATCTAACTAAATCAACTGGCTTTGTGGCCTTGGGCAGGTGGCTTTTCCTCTCTGAGCCTTGATCTCTCCATCTTAGAATGCAAGAGTTGATTTACTTAAAAACCTTTCATCCTTTTTGCATTGGATTCCTTTGAGGAGCTGCTGAAATCGCCGGACCCCTTTTTCAAAGCTGTGCGCTTTGAAATGTTTAATCTCCAGAGGTTCACAGAGCTTCTCATGGGTACTCTGCTTAGACTCTCCTCTGATGGGCCTTCCAGTTACCAATTTCTCAAGCCCTAAAAGCCATCAAAATAGTCAATGGGTGGAGGCCCACTTGCATTGCATTGAGGAATTAACCCATCCACCCCCAAGTCACTCTTTGAGCTTAACTCTCTCTGGTTAGAGAAATGAAACAATATTTTAAAGTTATCCGTTAGAGATGTCTCTACAATACAACATGAAAATGGCTTGAAGTAAAGGCCATTTGCTCTTTGGCTACAGCTGGGAAATTTCCCGTTTGGCTACAGTCACACCCATTGGCCTCAGATAAAACAAGCCCTTCTGGGAATCATGAGCCTCCTTCCAGCCAATAGGGATAAAGAGGCCGCCCAGCAACTCGATCGTCATTCCTGCGCAATCCAATCAGCATGAAGGAAAGTCTGCTCCTCAAGGCTAGACTAGTCCTCCAGAACCTTACCGAGGAGGGAAAAATAGAGCATTTAATGAAGCCCCACATGTGAGCAATCGATTCCAATTTTCCACTTCTGATTTAATAAAGAATTTCCACTGGGCGTGTATTAAGAAACCACAGAACTTGGTAATGTTGGTGATGAGCTCACCTGTTTTTCTTTCAGTCCCTGCACATTTTTGTTAATGTAGTCGACACCGAGGGACATGGAGATGCCTGGGTGAAAGCCAATCCCAGTGATAGGCGGAGCTGGAGTAGAAGTGGCTGAGTCACTCATGGGAGGTGGCATCAAGACCTCTCTCCCAGGTGTGCTTTGCTGGGAAACAATAGACAGAGGCCAGGATTTGGCATCACCATGTATAATTAATAACAGAGGTGGCAGGCCCTGGTATCTCACCTGAGTCGCTCAATTGTTCTCTGTCCTGGACTGGTTTTCCCACATCCCATCCGATTATCATCATCATCCTCCCCTCCAGTCCATTCACATCACTTCTTCCTCCGGCATCTCCAGCATCTCCTTTCCATCTACCCAAACTTCCAAATCCTCTGCACAGCACCCACAGCCCACCACCTTCTCCACCTCAGCCCACCCTTCCAGCTTTGTCTCCCAAATATCCCTTCATCCTCAACCCTTCCTGTGTCTCTGTGAAGAACCTCTGTGAGCCAAATGCTCAGAATTCATTGCTTTTTCCTCTCTGGTCTCAGCAGGGAACACTTTTATCTCAAATGACTTGGTCCTACACCTGCCTCCTACACTGGATACAAAGGGCCAAATTTTGTTAGGGAATGGATGGATAAATAAATACATTTAAATACAAGCTGAGGATGTCTGTCCTCTGGCATCAAAGGCTTGGTCCAGGGGGCAGCGAGGAGCAGATCCTAAGTTTGCTCTGTTTCTGCACTGAAGCTACACTGGGTCCGTGGTGGCTTAGCTGAGGGTAGAAAACCTAGGTCCACGCGGTGCTGGAGAAACCAGCAGCAGGAAGTCCTCTCAAGAGACAATGCAGAGCCTCATAGGAGTTAGCCTCTGTCAAGGCCAAAGACTGGATAATTGGAGAAGGTCTCATCAGGAGTCCAGTTAGCCAAGGAGATCCTGCTGTGCTGACAAGTGGCACTTCTGCCCAGGTCCCAGGCAACTCAGGAAGGATGGCAGGCTGGCAGCCACTGTGCAACTGAATGCAGGGAGGCCAGGTCTGCCTTCTTGGGTAAGAACTTCCAGAGCTGGGGGAAGGTGGCTACATTAGGAAAACTGTTGGTGCTGATGAGCAGAAGAATGGGTTTGCAGCGACCGGACTCCAGGTTCTGGTGCTGGGGTGGTTTAAGAATGAGAGCCTTTGGGGAGGAATGGAATTCTATAGGCTCAGTTCTGCAGGAGTCTGGACCCAGCTTAGGATGTTGAAGACTCTGCTGGGAAGGAAATGGGAATGGAGACTGATCTAACCCTGTAAAACTAGGTGTGGGATGGGCAGGGAGAGAAGAATAGACAAGTGACATGGATCAGGCCAGCCTGGACCACGGCGTCTAGGAGGGTTAGGAATCACAGCCACCCCATTTTTGGTGTTGAGCCCCCCTTAGCCTCAGGAGCTGCCCCTGAGCTCTAGAAACGTACCACTATATGGTCTCTATGCCTGCTGTTCTAGAGCCGATGTCGGCCGAGGGCTGTGGGTTGAAGTCCTGGTGCATTCCTGAAGGGTTTTGAGTTAAAGGTATCTGATGGGGGAGGTGGGGTCCTCCAGGACCAGGTCATCCATATCTTTCAGGAGTTCGTGTTCACTGGCTGTGGTGGCGTTTTGCAGGCGGCGGAGGCGGGCCTGGAGCTGCTCCTGCTCTTTCTTGAGCTCCAGGTAGGAGTGCGAGAAGGTGTGGAAGATGGACGTGGCTGGGAAGGCCATGATGAGGATCCCACTCAGGATGCTGCTAAGGGCCACCATCTGGCCCGGCACGCTGCGGGGCACCATGTCTCCGTAGCCCACCGTTGTCATGGAGATGATGGCCCACCAGTAGGAGGCCGGGATGCTGGTGAACTCCAGGACCCGCCCGGACTCATTCTCGGCCACGTAGACCAGAGGGGAGAAAAGCGTGATGGCCACGCAGAGGAAGAGGAGGAGCAGGCCGAACTCACGCGTGCAGCGGCGCACGGTGAGGCCCAGAGTCTGCAGCCCCAGCGAGTGGCGGGCCAGGCGCATCACGTAGAGGATGCGCAGCGCCCTCAGCACGCGCAGCACCAGCCCCACCTTCTCCAGGTACGAGCTCCCGCTAGGCCTGTCGTCATCCTCCTTGGGCTCCTCAGACACCGCCAGGGACACGTAATAGGGGGAGAGGGCCAGGATGTCGATGATGTTCAACGGCCCTTGGAAGAACTGGCACTTGTTCTGGGCCTGAACAAACCGCAGGCAGAACTCCAGAGAAAACCACGCCACGCAGACGGTCTCCACGATGAAAATATAGTAGCACTTCTGAGAGCACTCACCCTAGAGAAGCAACAAAACACAGGGCGGAGAGGATGGGCAACAGCACTGGAAATGGGGGAAGTCACCACGCCCAAGAGCGATGCCGCATATCTATATCGATAGCAATATCAGTGGATATATATGGAATACTGATATATATTGATATAGATATTGACTCCACTTATAGATTCAACATATTAAATATATTCTATATGTACTATATACTCTCTCTTTATTCTATATATATTATCTATCTCAACTGAGCTGTGCTATAGGCTCATTGTTGTCCACCAAAGCCCCCTTTTTTTGTGTGTTTTTTTGTTTGTTTGTTTGTTTTTGTTTTTGGTATGTGTCCCTAGTGGGAACCGAACCTGGGACTCTCTGGTCCGCAGGCCAACGCTCCAACCACTGAGCCAAACCGGCCAGGGCCCAAAGCCCCCTTTGTACATAGTTACCAAGTTGGGGCTGGCACCTAGCTGCTCAGAGACGCTCTTTCCAATCTCCCTTGCAGCTAGGTGTTGCCAAATAACGAAGTCCGCCCCCTGTGGAATGTAAACAGAAGTGATGTATGCCACCTCTGGTCCCAGAACTTAAGATGTTGCTGTGAACTCCTGCACACTCTCTCCCCTGAGAGCCAAGACAACCCATGTGGTCCTGCAACTCAGCTTGGAACCAGCAGATGGGACCAGTGCCCCAGGGAGGATGGAGCATCGGGATAGAGAACACATCCGGACCTCATAACGGGAGCTGCCCACTCACCTTGATTCCTCTCTGGGAGAGAAATCAACTTCTGTTTTGTTGAAAGCCATTCTGTCTTGGGGCCTCTTTGTTATAGCGGCCAACCTTCACCTTTCCCAGGAAAGCCCTTCTTGTGCACCAGGCACGGCTCTCGTGCTGTCACGCACGCCCCGCAGTGATGCTGTGAGCAGCCCCAGGACGCAGTTCCGTGCAGTGAAATGACTTGCCTGAGCTCACAGAGTACATGGTCAACTGTTTTGTGACTTCTTTGCCTGGCATCCCTCATTCATTCATCCAACAAAAATGCCTAAAGGGTTCACCTTGTGCCAGGCCCTGAGTGGGGTAAAGGACTAGAGGAGCAGATGTTGTTTCTGGGGGCTTAGAGGCTAGTGGGGCAGAGAGGGCTCCCACACCCCTAGAATGGCCCTGTGACATGGATTGCAACTGTTCACATGGTTGTCTGGGGGATCCCAGCTAGGCTGTTGTGGATTCATTGTTGTGTCATTCACATGCCCTGCCTCTGGCTTCTAACAGAGTTCCACCGGCCCCTCTGCTACTCAGTGTGGTCCTCTGACCAGTAGCATCCACCTGTCCTGGGAGCCTGTTAGAAACACAGAAGCTTGGGCTGTACCCCATCCCTGAGGAATCAGAATCCCCATTTTAATAAGGACCCCCCCACCCCACCCCCAGTGATTTGTATGCATGTTAAAGTTTGAGAGGCGCTGGTCCTGTGCAGACTTGGCTGCACAGCAGAATCACCCGGGAGCTTTGAAAAAATCCTGATGCCTGGGCTGGGACCGCAGAGATTCTGTAATTGATCTAGGTTGGACCCTGAGCAGTAGAATGTTCCAGCAGCCTCATAGATGATTCTAATGTAAAGCCAGAGTGGAGAACCTGACTCTAAATATTATATATATGTATGTATGTATGTATGTATATGTGTGTGTGTATTTAATATATTTATATTTATGATGGATGACTAAATGAATGACCGAAGCCAGTTGCCCGAGTGAAAAGCAAGATGTTGACAACCGTAGTTTTCTTTGGATTAAAGAGCTCTGAAGTGGAAAAAGAAATTATTTCCAGTGCCTGGGCCCACAGGAATACTAAGTGGAAATGTCCTTTATGTCTGGCTGCTGGAGGAAGAGAAACGGGCTGGTCCGTTCTGAGCTCTGTCTGCCTGTCCAGGGCTGGGCAGCTTTCTCTCTTGACCTGTGTCTGGTCTACTGAAGGGGTGGGAGGCGGTGGGAGTGCTGTTGAGGGTGTGGAGTCCAGAGTGTCTGTGACCCAGGTTCAAATCCCGCACTTCCGCTAACTCAGGCATGTCATTTCGCCCCTCTGGACTTTCAGGTCTCTGCCCTGAAAGCTGTGATGCGTGGAAACGATGCACGTAAGGCGGGGAGCAGGCTGTGGCGCCTGCAGGCACGTTCTGCTTCCTGGCTCTCTTCATGAGATGAGTGACTGGTCACAGACATAGCCTGCCTGGTTAGTTTAAGGGTAACAGGATCCTCCTATCATCAGATTCTACAGGAACCTGAGGAAGTTCTCCAATACACTGAGGGGTCTTTGCTGCGCTGCCCGGGTTTGCTTCAGGGTCCTGGAGGGCTCAGACGTGTAGGATCCTGGTTCATCAATCCTGCTACAGGTTTGCTGTGTGACCAAGCAGCAGTCACTGCCCTTCTCTGGCTCCAATTTCCACCAAAGGGGTTGGAACAGAACCAGTATTTCTCAAAGCGGAAGTAGAACCCCCTGCATCAGAATCCCCCAGGACGTTTGTTATAAATGCAGATCCTTGGGGGCCCATCACAACATCAAAACCTGGGTTGGGGCCCAGGAATCTGCATTTAGGCGACCCCCTCCACCCCACCCTCCGTTGACTCAGAGCTACCTGGAAGTTTTTCAGACTCTGCGCCAGATTCTCCCCACAAGGCCTCTCTCATCACTGACATTCTGGGAGTTTTCTTCCTGGCTTGAGAGCCTGCAGTGACCGGGAATAACTGTTCCAGGCCAGTGACCCAGTAGCTCAGGAAGGTGACTCCTGAGAAGGCTCTGTGGGTCCTCTCTCTGCCTCTGGTGCTGGCGTTTGGATATTCAGGGCATGCACCAGACACTCCTTCCTGTGGCCTGGCCCTGGCTGTCCTGGCCACCTCCCCGCACTGCAGCAGGCTCGCTCTGCCGAGTCACCCCTGCGCTGCAGCTCCGCTCCGCATCCTTAAACCAACCTCCCAGCCCTGGTCCCAGAGAAATGCCCTTTGGGCAGCCAGCGTTGGGGCAGCGGGGATTTATGGGGCTCTGGCTCAGGAAATAATTCCCAACCAGTCAATACTTGAAGAAAAACAGACAGAAAGGAAAGAAATGTTACTTTTTTCTCTCCGAGGGAGTTGATTTTTAGAGAGAGGAAAAGAAAGAGAGAAACATCAATGTGAGAGCAAAACACTGATTGGCTGCCTCCTGCATGCCCCCTACACCAGGGATCAAACCCTCAGCCCAGGCATGTGCCCTGACTGGCAGTTGAACCAGCAACTTTTCTGTGCGTGGGATGACGCCCAACCACTTGAGTCACACCGGCCAGCGCTCTGGTTATTATATGAAGGTGGGGAGAACAATTCATCCTGGATCACCCAGAACTGTGTGGATTTGAGTATGGAAAGTCCCAGGTCACCAGAACCCCCTCGGTCCTGGGAGGGCCTTGTCACCAACATCAGTGAGGAGTGCTCTGTCTCCCTCATGCAGGGAAGAGTGTGAGTCCGCCTGAGAAGGCTGGAGGTGTGAGCGATGCAACCACATGGACGAATCTCACAGACAGGATGTGGGGCTAGACAAGCCAGATGCATACCTCCATTTATGTGAAGTTCAAGAACAGGTGGGCAACATCATCCAAACAGTAGCTGCTATTAGGTGGGTAGGGATCGACTGTGGAGGGACATGAGAGAATTTTTTCTGGGGTGATGGAGCTATCCAACTGTTAAACTGTACAGCTAAATACATTGTGCATTTCAATGCATATAAATTTTACTTATAAAATGAATTATAATAAGCAACTGGGGCTGGGATGGAGAGAGAGTAAAAGAATAGCAGATGTGGTCCTGGCCAGTTTGGCTCAGCGGTTGAGTGTTGGCCTGTGGACCAGGGAGTCCCGGGTTCAGTTCCTGCTAGGGGCACATACCACAAAAACAAAAACAAAAAAAGAATAGCAGATGTGGACAAATGTGGAAGCTGAGTTGTGGGTACTTGGGGTACATTGTATTATTCTGTTTACTTTGTGAATGCCTGAAATTTTTCATCATGAAAAGTTGAAAAAACAAAACCAAACAGGGTCAGAAATCAAAAGCACAATGTAATACCACTCCACACGCACTAGGATGACTAGGATTCTAAAGACAAAATATAACAGTGTTGGTGGAGAAATGAGAGCCACCAAACATTGCTGCTGGGAATGTAAAATAGTACAGCTGCTAGGGAAAACAGGCTGGTGGTTTCTCAAAAAGTCAAGCACACATTTGCTCTCTGACCCACCAATTCCATCCCTGGGTGTATACTCGAAGGAGCTAAAAACAGGCATCCACACCAAAACCTGTACCTGAACATCCATAGCAGCACTGTTCATACAGCCCAAAAGTGGAGACAACCGCAATGCCCATCAACTGAAGAATGGATGAACAGTCCATGAACTGGGTGTACTCGTACAATGGAATATTATTCAGCCATGAAAAATGATGAAGTACTGGTCATGCTTCAACATGGATGAACCTTTAACCCCTTATGCTCAGTGAAAGAAGCCGGACACAAAAGGCCAGATATTGATTGTATGGTTCTGTTCATATGAAATGTCCAGAAAAGGCAAATCCAGGGAGACAGAAAGTACATTCATGGTTGCCTGGGTCTGAGGGGCTGGAGGGATGGGGAGTAGCTTACAGTGTGTGCAGGGTGCCTTTATGTGCTGAAAATGTTCTGAAATTAATAGTGGTGATGAGTGCACAGCTATATACTAAGACCCACTGATTTGTGCACTTTAAAAGGATTAATATTATAGTGTGTGAATTATATCTTAATATAAAAGAAACCAGAGTCTGAATCTGGAGAGGCTGACTCCGTCCTGGGTGAGGAAGCTGTGAGTGGGGTTCCCACAGCCTTGCCCCGATTTCTTAGTTCCAGAGAACCACTCTGAAGGGCTCTGGGGTCTGAGGGTGGGCAGGGCTTTCTGAGGGCACAGCCACTGTCCTGGGGACCATCTGGGCAGGCTTCCCAGCAGACTGCTGCCGCATCAGTGGGGCTGGTTCTAG